GTCTTCCTATTCTGGGGAGGAGGAGAAGTGTAAGGACATAGGGAGAATGAGCCACACTTTTGGAGCATCAGGAGTGTGGGACAATCATTTTCCCTTTACAGTTCCTTCGTCTTGGGAGCTGGTGTCCCAGGGTTCCAGTGTCACAGGGTGGCATGTGGGTCCCCACCCCTAGCCCTTCCTTCTCTCTTTCTCTTAGCTTTGATTTAGAGGGATGAGAGGAATAATCCTGATAACAGTGGTACATTTATCATTGACGTGATATGCACTCCTGGAATGATTGGATCTCTAAAAGACTTTATCTTCAGAATGTGTCCCAACTCTGAATCCTGAATCAATGAATCACGAGTAAGCACTTGCTTGCATTAGTGGCAGAGGCTCCGGTGGCTGTGTTTGTTTGCATGTGTGGTTGGGAGAGAAGAAGGGTGAGAGGATTTTGGGGCCCCTCTGGTGTACCCTTGCCCAGGAGCTCCTCTGGTTGACGCACCTTCTGCCCCTGGGTTCTGGAGACTGGGGCAGTGTAGATGTTGGGGATGTGAGGCACATTGTTCCTCTGCTTCCCCACATGGCCAGTTGTCCCTGATTGAGGAAGAGGTTGCTATTAGGTCCCATGAACAATCTGGTCTGAAATAGCGAGCGGGAGAAGCCTGAGGCTGTTAGGACAGAAAGGAAAAGAAGCAGAATTCGGAGCTCAACAGAGCAGGTTTATCTCAGAGCAAATCTGAGTTCTCTGGCACAGAGACCAGACTGGACAACTCTCGTACAGGCTAGGTCTTTGTGGGGTCATGAACATTAAAAAGGGAGACTGCCGAAGGAAAAAGCATCACTGTGGGATTTTTGAGGGGGAGAGTTTCCTACAAGGGAGCGCGGCTGTCTGCCTGGGATTGGACCTGAGGGTATACGAGGACTTGTGTGCTGTTTGTGAAGACCAGGGTTGAGCAATGATTGGGATTAGGGAGACAGATTTAACTACAGTGTCTCTGCTCAGACCAGGGTGTGCAGGTCCGATTGTTTTAAAGGTCCCTGCTGGGGGCAGGTAGCCAGTATTAGCTGATTGCTTCCAAGTATAGAAACCACACCATGATTTCAGGCACGACTTGAGCAGAGTATGGAGCTGAGCAGTGACTCTTTTTCAAATGAATGGAGCAGAAGATTACATTAATGGTTTTTTTTTTGGGGGGGGGATTCATTTAAAATAAATGCCACATATGTGTAAGATGAAATTTATCATTTGAGCCATTTTATGTGTACAGTTGGGTGGTGTTAAGTACGTTACATGAGTGTTCAACCATACCCAGAAGTTTTATACCCTGTCACACTGAAACTTTGTACCCATTAAACATGAATTCCTGTTCTTCCCATTAGCCCAAGGGCAACCACTGTTCTGTTTTCTATGAGTTTGGCTACTTCAGAGACCTCAGAAATAATAAAAGCATACAATATTTATTGTTTTCTCACTGGCTTATTTCACTAAGCACAAAATCTTCAGGTGCATCCATGTTGCAAGATGTGTCCGAATTTCCTTTGTTTCTTTTTAGTGTTTCTTTAAATGAAAAAAGAATAAACACGGTGATACATAATTTCAAAACAAAATAACAAAATAATTAATGCTGGTTAATATATTGCATATTGTTATCCTCAAGGTGGTTGCTCAGGTTACAGAGTATAGCAATGAGGCTGAGAACAGCCTTTGTATATCTGTACCACATCTGGTACTTTTGTTTGTCCATTCATGTGTTAATTGACACTTAGATTGTTTCTACTTTTGGCCATTGTGAATAGTGCTCATATAAACATTGGTACATAGATACCTGTATTATGAATAAAAAGGTAAACTGTTTAACTGTAATATACATGTTACATTTTTGGTGACTGCAGTATACTTTTGACTCCTGTTGAATTTGAACTTAGGGTTATTCAAAACCCCTACAGTGTTATGTGGGGGCATTTCATTTCATTTCATTTAGGGGTGGAACCTAGGATCACCTAGGTGCATGTTATACCTTATCATTAAGTCTGGCTTCTTTTGTCCTGAGTTAAGATTTGTGCAGCTTAGTAAACTAGCCTGTCAAGTCTTTTGAAATTTTGAGTCTTTGATCTGGTTTCATTTTGGGCCATCCACAGGTATCCTGTGTACCTCTATCTAAGACCACAGTGAAAGGCCTGCCAGAGTGTTGTGCAAGCTGCTGAATGCCTCCCTGATTTTCATTTCTATGGGTGCTGCTGTGTAACCGTTCACTTCTCATCTAGTTTTTCTCGCCTCTAGCTCAGCTCTTTTTTTGTATGAGAAGGTCATTAGGAAATGTGTCACCATGCTGTGAGGGTGCAGTTTCTGGCTACACAATCTATGCAGGAATAGAGAACGGAACCAAGCAGATTGGTCATACCACACCATGTTCGATTGGTTTCGCAGGTAATGGGGCCACCAAGAAGTATTAGGTCAGTGAGGATTCGCTGTTTGCCCACGTCCTCAGTACAGACTTATGGTGAGAGCAAATTCACCCAACATGTGTTAGCAAACAGGCATCATGTAGACCACATAGTCAGTTCTGTCACCTGGAATCCCAACTCTGGACTTTCTGAGCAGGTCTGGCCACAGAAGACCAAAGCTTTCCTTATGGCAGATTTGCCAATGCAAGTTGATCATCCCTGATCTGAAAATCTGAAATGAAAAGTTTAAAATGTTTTGAGCAGCAACATAATACCACAAATGGAAAATTCTACACCTGACCTCAGATGATTTGTTGCAGTCAAAATGCAGGTGCACTAAAATTAGTGCATAACACACCTTTAGGCAAGGTATATAAGGTGTATAGAAAACATAAATATATTTCATGTTTAGACTTGGGTCCCTTCCCCACAATATCTCATGTTTGTATGTGCATATATTCCAAAATCTAAAAACAGAATATCCCACCACAATCTGAAACACTTCTGGGTCCAAACATCTGGACGTGGGATAGTCAACCTATATTCCATTGCAGGGTTCTGTTTTCCCTACAGCCAGCAGGCAGCCAGAAATCCTCCAGATCAGTAGCTAGACTTCTTCAGGGATCAGGCCTAAGGCTATCAGTCTTGCTGAGTGATTGTTGCACCTTGTCTGTGCGGGAACAGGCAGTATCTACAATGTTTAATTTCAGTCTTAACAGTCATCATGTTAATTAACAAAACACTAACTTCACCAAAAATTCTGACATTCACTCTGTTAATTAGCAGGGGACTTGTCACTCAAAAATAGCAGAAATACTTATGAAGATATGATCAACAGATTTAGTGAATGTTTAAATTTTTAAAATTATTACAGTAAAAGACACATTGCCATTCATTTTCCTAAACATACTTCTTGCTTCAAAAACCACACTTATCTACTTCATGAGGCAGCTCCAGATGTTCTGACATGGATATCGTTAGTTGTACTACTATGGATACCTTGATGTCCTGAGTCCATTCAAAGCCTTTATGTTTCATGGTCGTTTTGACTTTGGGGAAGAGCTGGAAGGTGCCTGGTGCCATCAAAGAAAGAATAAGAGGAATGAAGATACAGCATAATGTTTTTATGAGCACTTGGCAGCAAGTTCACCATGTTTTTGATCAGGCCTCATAAAGACTCTCATGAAGGAAGTCTTCCAGGACTACTTCAGAAAGTGGTGGGAATGATGAGAGAAGCACGTTCAAAGTAAGAGGGAATATTTTGGGGAAGTTAATGACAATGTATCTTTTACTATGATAGATTTTAAAAATTGAAACATTAAGCGTGTATTTTGATCATAGCTGACAGTGCTACTTTTAAGAATATGGGCTTCTTGGCAAGTACACTGTTTGACCAGTTCAGGTTGATTAGAATACAATGGTATAGTTCACAAATGTCAAATTGGTTTTTTCCTGTCTAACAACCCCTAAGTCTAGATATAAAGCATTTTTCATATGGCCAGAAGGCTCTCTGAGACGTTTTATTACCCCCCAGTGCTAACCTGACCCTATCATAATTGGGTAGTTTTACCTTCTTTGGTTTCCATATATATATAATCATATTTATGTAGAGTGAGATTTCACTCATGACCTTGCGCTTGCCAGTCAGGTGCTTCTGCTGCTGAGCTAAACCCCTGGCCCTTACTCATGTTCTTGTATGTAAAATTCATTCATTTCTCCCCTTTACTGTATGCATTCCATTTTAGGATGTTTAGATATCCATTTGACAGTTGATCGGGGCTATTATGAACAAAGCAGCAAAAAAATTCTTATGCATATATTTGGTGGATCAGGTAAGCGTTATTCATTGAGGTCCCTGGACCTTAATCTGTCTCTGGAACTCAAGTGACCCTGGAACTGAAGTTTGCGGTTACTTAGCACATGAGACTCTCATTGTGCGTGCCTGATAACTTTAGAGTACATTGAGGGTGATGTTCAAAACCATATTGAGCAAAGGAATGAATTTAGCCTAGGGAGACTTGCAGAGAGAAAAGCCATGCTGATAAGAAAACAGATCATTGCTTCTGTGTTCCCTGCCTGTAATAAATATTCTCAGCCAGAGTTTTAGTCTTCTAGAAACTGAGATTCTCATGCAAGAGGATGTTGTATCTTTGTGCTTTCTCCACGAGGGCTAGGGAAGAACCTTTTGGTTAATTCTGCAAAGAGGCATCATTTTCTAATCATAGAGTCTCACCGTGAAAAAAAGTCATGAATTACTGAAAATGCCAAGAATATAAATGGGTTTTGGGGATCTTCTGAGTTGGAATGAATAAGTATTTAAAGTAATCATTTATGCACTTGTTTTCATGTCATTTTGGGTATTGTAATGAAAATAGTATTTACTGCTGACTTAGAATTCCTGAATGCACTTACAGAAATTGAATTCTACCAATAGGCTTTTTTACAGGGCTGTTTTCCTATGTAGCATGCTAGAAGGAAAACTTGTTAGTCTAAGAATTGGTAGATCCAAGTAGAATAGAGAAAAGAAACTAGGCCCACCTCAAGGGCCTGCTGCATTGACTTAAATTTTGAGTTTGTTTTATAAAAGTAAAGAAGTAGGTTGGCAGCTACCTTGACAAAAATGGAAAACCTTCTGGGGACCTTTATCACACATATACATTTAAAGTGTCACTACCTTTTTTGTAGCACCTAACAGTATTTTTTTTTTTGTCTAGACCAGGTCTTGCTATGCAGTTCAGGCTGGCCTTGGGCTCACTTTGTAGCCCAGGCTGGTCTCAAACTTGCAAACGATTCTCCTTCCTCAGCCTCCCAAGTGCTGGGATTACAGGAGTGTGCCACCATGCATGGATTTTCTAACAGTATTTTTAAATGACCCTAAGGGAGGGGATCTGATAGTGTAAGGCAGTGTTAAAGAAGGATTTACCCTCTGACCTAGAGTCCTGGTCATCTTTCCTGCAGGTGTAACAAAATGGTATGTGTGCATGGTTATCTCTGAAGCTTAGTGTGTAGTGCCAGAATGTTGAAAGCTCCCAAGGGCCCATCACTCAGAAAGGTTCTGTTATAAAGGATGATGGTGTACATCTGCAGTGGATGGCTCTGTGCAGGGCTGTGCACTGAAGGGGACCTATCTCCAGGCACATTGCCAAGCGAATAAAGCAAGGTGAATAGTGTTTGCATTAGAAAGATGGGAATATGAAAATACATGGGCGAATTTACTTGTATTTGCATGAAGAAACACCAGAAGGACAAATAGGAAGCTCATAAAAATGTTTATGTGTGGTTGGTTTGGGGAAGGAGGTGATTGAGAACAGGTGTAGGAGTTACTCTTCTGCATAGGTCCTTGCAAAGAGCAAGCATGCAGACAGTCAACAAAAGTGAACCTGGCAGTCAGCTTGGACTCTGAACAAGATCAGGAGGAGATAGTGGAAAGGTAAAGTAGCTGAATGCATAGTAAGAGGCGAGATTATTCACTCAGTTTCTTTTCTTAGAGGGTAGGTCAGTATGTTCAGTTACTCAATCAGCAAGTGGCATACCTGGTGCTATTTTAGGTGCTATCTGTGGGAACATTCAATTCCAAGTTTTCACAGAGCTGGCACTTTTGAAGGGGCAAAAAGATAACAAACTAATGATAAATGATGAAGAGAAGACTCTTGCTGGCCATCTAGAGAGAGATGTGAGAGGGGCTACCTGGAAGTCAGAGGAGGTTGATTGCTGGTGCATACATGTTCCTGTGTGTCTGCCACGCATCTGTGCATTGTGCTGTGTATAGGATAATGAAGTGGTCACATGATCACATTTAATGTTGCTACAGCAGTCAAGATTTCTTTTCATCATCATACCATCACTTCAGATAAGTTTCAAATAAGGAAAAATAAATCATGGCAGGTCATTTTATTCCAACCTGCAACTACTATGCTGGTCAGATTTTCATCACTGTGGCTCTTCTACATGGATCCTTGAGCATAACAACTTAATAGAGAAAAGATTTATGTTGGCTCATGGTTTCAGAAGGTTCGGTCCATGGCTGATTGGCTCCATGGTTTTTATGCTTGTGTCATGGTGGAAACATCATGGTGGATGGCAGTGATGGGAGAAAACTGAGAGGGAGTAGGGGGAGAGGAAGAGTAGGGGAGGGGAGAGGGAGAGGAGAAGCAGAGATAGGAAGGGCCCATGGACGATGTGGGACCGAGGTCTCACCCTCATGATGCCCTCAGAGTATGATCTCATTGGTGGGTTAATTAACTGATGGAATAAGAACCCTCATGCTCTAGCCCACTTCAAAAGTCCATCATTTGGCAACCAAGCCTGTTGTGATTTAAATATGAAGTGTTTCCCTTTATTCCCAGCACTGCAATGTTCATAAGTGGAGCTCGGAGAGGAGATGGATTGTGAGGGTGCTGACCTTATCAACGAGCGAGCCATTGATGAATTCATAGCTAAGTGGGCTTTCTGGAGAGGAGTCCAGTTGGAGGAAGTAGGTCACTATATGCTGTTCCCAGCCCTATCTTTTTCCTCCGGCTCTTTATCTGCTTCCTGGCTGCTGGGAGGGGAGCAGATTCCTCTGCCATGCTCTTCCAGTTTGAGGATGTTCCTGCTTCTCCACTGGTCTAAAAGCAGTAGAGTGGCCAACCATGGATTGAACTCTTTGATACTGGGAGACACAATAAACTATTCCTCCTTCAAAATGAATATATCATGGCTTTTGTTTCAGCCATAGAAAGGTAACTAATATAAAGCCTGCAACACAATGAGCTTTTTAGAAAACATTTTAGATAACAGCCATAATAATCAGACTAGAATTTAGCTGACTTGATTATCAGGGTTGGCTTTCACAACAGCAGGGATAAGTTGGGGATAATATATCTATATAATTTGTGGCCGTAAATGTGGATTATTGGATGGGAAGACATTACTACAAAAAATCCATTGTCTTTTCTTGTTCAGTAAATAGTTTAAAACTTAAATTGCCCTTTGCTATGACATATGAGCTACAAAGACTTGAAAAGAAAACCCCACACATACAGATGAACCTCATAACTCTCACCAACCATAGATCTTCATGACAGTCATTATCTGAAAATGCCATGGAAGTATTTCCAGAATAGACCATGTGCACATTTGAAAGATAGCTCATGTGTGTTTGTTTTCTTATTCTGATCTTTTATTGGTAGATGTCTCTTTCACCATTTCTGAGTTGAAAATTCATATATTTATTTTCCAAAGTTGCTCTGATGAAATGATCCTGTAAAGAGATTTTTCTTTCTCTCTGGGTTCAATTAAATTTTGGTGAAACTTGAGACATAATGAGGACTGTAGATGAAAGTTCTGGGTGAAGTTAGTGGTCACAGTGATTCTTGCACTGTGATGACTAAGTGTTGCTGTGGGAATGGAGGTGGACCTCGCAGATTGGGTAGAGGACAAGTGAGTCTAGAATTTTCCTGACAACCAGGCCACCTTAGCTCCAGGTAATATGGAGCCGGCATACCTCTGAGCATACCTAAATTTATGATTTAGTTAAGAAAAATCCCAGAAACCAGATTTATCTTGAGGGTTAGAAAAAATGCAAAATAATACAAACCCTTATAGTTACTATAGGACTCCACTCTAGCATAGTAGTGAAATGCCCCAGGCATTCTGCAAATCTAGTGTCATACAAGGAAAGGCACAAGAAGGTGCTACTGGAAACTTGTCATTAGATATCTCGGTTTGGTGCAGATGGGGTGAAGGCTGTCTGAGGACTGGCTATTTGAGAGTTTGGTCAGATCTGTTTCCTTAGCATCGCAGGGTGAACTTAGGAGGCTATGGCCTTGGTTTCCCAGTAGAGGTAGAGGACAGGTGGACTGTGACTGACCGCTCGAGCCCTTCCACTCTACCCTCTTGATTGGCCTCACAGAAATGTGGGACTGTAGCACCAGCCTGGCTGGGGTGTTGCTAGAGCTGGTCCACGACATGATTGCTCACATTTGCCATCATTAAGAGAGTGAGGACACCTTACAATTAGATGTTTGGTTTGTTTTCAGCAGCTTTTTCCCCACCGGGGACAGAGGAGTTGAAGGTTCTGATACAAATGTGTAACTGGAATCTGAAAAACCTACTCTAAACATTTCTGAAAACAGTAACAAAGCCAGGCATGGTGGTACAGCCCTGTAATCCCAGCACTCTGGGAGATGGGAGGCAGGAGGATTGACAGTCTGAGCCCAGCCTGGGAAACTTAGTGAGACTCTGGGTGGAGTGGGGATGGGGGAGCCAGGAATGTAGCTCAGTGCGAAAGGCTTAGGTTGAATCCTCAGTAATGCAAACAGTAGTAAAAGTTGCTGGCTATTGTGCACAGTTCTTCCAATGATGGTTGGATGACTAAGGAAGAAATGAAAATAGACACAGTACAAACACCCAGTGCAAATCTTGGCAGACGGGTGTTCAATAAATTGATATTTCTCCTCCCCCACTGCAGTGCTGTTCCGCCTTGCAGAGTATCCTCAAGTGCAAGGAGCAGTCAGCAGTGAACGTGGACCTCTAGGAGATCTCACACAGTGAGGGAGGCTGAGCCCCGGGGTACCACTGGATCCTGTAGCTGTATCTACCCAGTGCACATACTGCAATTTGAGAGGTTTCGGGTTAGTGGCTGAAGTCAGACAGAGAAGAAAAGAGTGGTCAGATTCATCCCAAATATGTTTTGTTGCAATTCATATTCTTTGCATTTGACTACTTAACACCCACTTAGGCTCCTGAGCAGTGGAATTCATAAATGGAACATGGGGTCCAGCGGCACATGCATTTCCTTGCTGGTCTGGATTTCAGGCAAGGCATAGTCAGCTCTAAATTCTATGTTTGCATGTACAGTCTTTGTATGGAAATCAGATGAGAATGGGCGGGGTAGGAAGGGACCCCAACTTGTGTGAAATTCAGTCCCATGCAGTGTGGAGGTTTGTTGGTGGATATCTAATTGAAGGATAAGATAACGAGGCAGGGCAGCATTTCTTGACCAGCTCACATAGAAACAAAGGAAGCTGCTCATCCGGTCTGGGATGAGCTCATTTAGTGATCTTTGCAGATAGTTAACATTTTCTTGATAACCCCCCCCAAATTCACCTGGCTTGTTAGTTTGTAATTCTACTGAGCCAATCATATTTTCAAAGTGACTTTTAATAGCCTAAAACATTTTTGAGCAGTAGCTATAGTTTTTAATTAGGCTGTCACATTTAATTGACCTACTGGCCATTCAGTGTGGATTACAGAGAAACAGTGGTTTAGGGAGGCTTGACACAGGGTTACTCACTAAGGATCAGGCTGAGCTGAAGATTTACCTATCTGAGTCAAAACCCACACTTTCTTTTTTAAATTGCTACCTATGACTGATGGAAGCAGGTAGGAGGAGGCCAGAAAAAGGCTGAGATAATCTTGAATCATCAGTCTCCAGTAACCAGGCATTGACAGCTATTTGAGAAAGTTCACTTTAGTTTCTTCATTTAAAACCTCTGGTTAAAAAATATGGTTGACAAGTTGTTGTACTTAGGGAATATTGTAACTAGGAAATGAGATAGTGAGATGCCTATGATTGTCTTTGTTTTGAGACTTGGTGTTTTGGGAAGCTTGTGTCCGGGGAATGTGTCATGGGCCCTTTTGTGTCTTAGGAATGTCACCATGATAGTAGAGGACTACATTTGCTTGCACGAATAACAGCTGTAAAGCAAGCAACATGTGTAA